GCACATCTCCATCATGTACAAAGCTTGTGGAATGAAGGCAGGTTGGTCACCTGTGATTTTCCCCCTTCTCACACTGGCCCCTTTGCCTCTCCTCTGACAGCACTTGTGGGCATCTCTCTGCCTCTCCTCCACTCCCAGCCTGGTAAGGGTGGGAGGCATCACTGTCATAATGTCCTGGACTCTAGCTGCAGCTCTCCACTTATGAGGGATGCAGTAGTTTGCAGACCAGAAGCCAGGATGGAATGCAAGCATGCTCCTTGTTGTTCTGTGACTTCAGGTGATTGTGCTCTCCCTTACCCTCCCATCCCTCAGCATATTGGGAAGGACACGGCCTACCGTGATTTAGAATGTTTCAAGTAATAATATCAGGGACATACAATATTTTATTTTGCCATTCTGCCAATATTGGACATCCATGTTTTGCTAATACTGTTTTTATAAATTTTGCTAAATGCTGTAATGTCATGTCTTCCTTAAGCAGAATCCTAAAACAGGAGACACTAAGTTCAGGTATAGGAACTTCTTATGGCTCCAGAAACCTTGTTCCACTTTCCAGCACCAATATTACCAAAGTCTGCCAGTTTCTTAAAACAGAATCTTACCAAAATTATAATTTCCATGGCTGTGCATCCTGACAAACAGTAGACCCAGGGCCCCTGCCCAGAACGGAGCACAGAGACAAGCCACTTGCATTGTTTCTCTGTTTCCATCATTTCCCATTGTGCAGGTGTGTGGTTTACTCTTTTTTGGACAACTATTAAGACCCTGCTGTGCATCTGTTCTAAACCCTTGGGCATTTGGTAGGAAAGAAAAGACCAGAGCCCTTGCATCATGAAGTTTATTTCTGTAAAGAAAAGAAAGACAAGAAGTAAACATAAGGTGGATCAGAGAGCAATAAGTGTGACCAAAAGCAAGCAGGAAAAGGAGATGGGGGTGTGGAATGGGGCTGTAAACACTGGAAGGAAGAATAAGGACAGCAAGTGCCAAGGCTCTGAGGCAGGGCTGTGCCTGAGTTGAAGAAAAACAGGAGGCTGTGGTTCTGATCAGCATGAGCAAGGAAGAGTAACAGAGGTGAGGACAGAGCGTATAAGGGATGGCCATTGAGAGACTTTGCCTGTTGCTCTCATTGAAGAGTGAAGCCATTCGTGGGTATTGCCTTGATCTGGTTTGCACTTAGCAAAGATCTTCCTCATAGGAAAATGAGTGAGGGTGAAAGCAGGAGACTGCTACCACGATCCGTGCAGGTGACCGAGGCACATAGCAGGAGGGGAGGGTGGAGTGGTCATTAAGACCTGTGGGTGGTTTGGCTGTGGGTGACAGAAATGATGTCACCCACATTATAAGGACACCTTGGAAGGACAGTTTCTATTTGCTGAGGTGGAAACCAGCGGGGAGCCATGGTTTGGAATTGCTGACTGGGGAGGAGAAAGAATTTTCCTTGCTGAAACCAGGATGCCACCTTGATTTGGAGGCCCTTTCCCCACGCTGTCATTTTGGTGGCCTTGCTGCTCTCTCACACCTGTGTGATACTAAAACAATGGGCCTTCTGACATAACGGCTCCATCACAGACGGACACATTTCTCACTAGTGGTCAGAGTAGCCGCCACCAACCAGCTAGTTAAATCATGTCTATGGTAAGTTTTGATGTCTTGTGGGCACAAAACTGTTGCTAGCCTTTTCTAAAAATTTCTTGGCAACTTTTCTGTATTTTTCAGTTATCAACATTAATATTCATATGACTAATGATCTCCCCCAAATATCCACTAAGATTTTTATTAAGCTTGTTTACAACCTGAGAAACACTTTATCTCTTGAAATCGAGCTTCATATGAGGAACACTGCCTGTCTCTCTTTGTTTCGACATTAAGACTTAAGGTCTTTAGATTCCTGTGTGTATCCCACTCTTGGACGGCCCTCATCCTGACTGTTTAGTAGCTTCGTCATTCATGTGATTGAAATTTTTTTCTACAATTCAATTTATAACTAGTTATAGTTACTGTTTTTAAAAAGTGGTCTTTTTGTGTTTTTAGCTTGAATTGGGCCTCTTTCCTAATTTTCTTACTGAAATTTTCTAGTTGTACAGTCACGTCCACAAATAATGACTCTGTCTTGAGCATTTTACTCCCTCATCTACTCATCTTATCCAAAAGATGGTTCCTCCAGAAGTAACAGTGGACACAGCCTTTCACTCTTGATTTTAACGCTTTGAATTTCACCTGTCTAGCCAGGTGTGGAAGTGCACACCTGTGATCCCAGCACTTGTGGGCTGAGGCAGGAGGGTTGTAAGTTTGAGACCAGCCTGAGGTACAGACTGAGACTCAAAAATAAACAAAATTTGCCCATTTAGCATGATGCATACTCAGGCTGGGGATGATGGTTTTATTTTTACATAGCTTATCCAATCCCTTCTTTCCCTATTCTGAACTTTTTATCAGGAGTGGCTGCTAACTTTGTCACATGCTGTGTGGCCACCTGTTGACATGTGGCCTTTGCTAATGTAAGGAAATGAAAGACTCGAAGCTCCTTGAAGCACTCTTATACTTGGAATAAACCCCACTTGGTCTTAGTGAATAATTTTGAAATATAGTACTGAATATTACTTTATTTTAGAATTTTTGATTAATAATCATAAATTAGAGTGGTTTATATTTTTATCATATCTTGGTATTTGGATAATATACAATGATTGTAATTCTATATATTGCTTTTTGTAGGCTGGAATAATTTGACTAATGTAAAAATTATCTATTCCCTGAGGATTCAATACAGCTTGCCTTTAAAATCATCTAGGCTTGACACCTTTTTAAACAACAGATGGTAGATTTTTTCCATTCCTTTTGTGGTTACCTGTCTATTCAGGCTTTTCTAATACCTCAGTTAAACTTAGTAATCCTTATTTTTCTAGAAAGCTGTCCATGTCCTCTAGAGTTTGAAAATATTAACCTACCATGCTCTGTTAGAACTCCTCACATCTGTGCTTAGAATACAGTCTGCTTCAGCTTTACACTTTCAAGAGCATTCCTGTACATCACGTCAGGTGAAGTCAGAGGTGAGGACAGATGAGGAAAAAGTGGGTAAGTAGCTCACTGCAGGGTTACACGGCCAGGCAGAGGCAGAGTCTAGACTCAGACCCATGACTGCATTTTCCCATGCCGGCTGCTTACCTGTCCTTCCCAGCAGTGTTCACCAGGGCCCCAGCCTTCGGGTCCAGAGGAGTGACACTGTGCAGCTGGACTCAGGGGGGCTCTGCACCAGAAAGGGACTCTGCTCTGGGAGCCAGCAGTCCTTGGAAGGTTCAGGAAATTCCAGGTACTCCTTAGCTCTGTGGAGTGCATTTTCAACTGTTTGAATTCTGAAACACTTAAATGCATGAGTAACATCAATTTTATTTTCTAAAATGAGAGCAGAATAGCTCGTTTACTTTCTAAGTGGCTCCAAATGGACAAATTTAGAAGCTTCATTAGCCTGTGAGAGGTCGAAGAGGAGGTGGGCTTTGGTGGGAGTGGAAGTGTGTGGTCATGCTTCTGAGGGCACACCCAGCACTGGCCTATTTTTGATAAAGTTTCCTGAAGTATAAAATACCTTATGCATTATGTTGACTTCTCTGTCCTAGGGAGTAGTATATATAGTACAAACTTTCTTAAAATAATCATGACCAAGTTTTAATTCTCGTTGTGGGGATTCAATGTGGTAATCTGCTGACCCCAGCACAGCATAGGTGTGTGGTAAGAGCTGTCATCTGTGCCAAGGGTCACAATGGGGGGAAGCCCAGTATGTCCCAGAATATGCCCAGGTCCTGGGACAGATTTCATGCATTGCTACCCTCAGATTCTCATGGAGCCAGAGCTGTACCTTCTCTCCAGCACCTCCACTCCTCATACGGCAGGAGCTGACCTGTTGGTTACCGTCACACAGGCCTGGCTTTGGGGGGCATTTTTCTAACTGAGCGAGTAGGTACATGTCAAGGCTGCTCCCCAGCCATGCCCACTCCCCACTGGCCTCTGCTCCTTTGCAGAAGACTGGGACTGTGTTACCCCACCAGCTTCTCCCCCAGAGCCTCAGTCTCCAGCCTGACTTCAGCATGGAGCCCAGTCTCCCAGTGCCCCTCCTGATCAGCCTCAGATAAACCTAGAGGCCTTGGGGATTTCCAGGGTCCCTCTGCTGATACACCCTGAGTGACTGTCCCTTGCTTGCTTGCTATTCCTCTTCCATCTGTCGGCACAGTGAGCATCAGCAGGTGCTGAAGCCAGGGTGCAGTGCTCAGCCCTTTCTGGCTCTCAGTGCCTCAAGCAAGCCCTCTTGCCGGTAATAGCATAGACGTGGAGAGAAGGACTCTCCTACTGCCCTTTCCTCCTCTCAAGTCCTGCTGACTCCACCACGGTTCACATCCCTCGTTCAGCACCATGGACAGCTTCTCCTCCACCCAGGCTTCCACTGGCCTAGAAGGGCAGAGTCCTATCTAACCCAAACCAGTATGCCTGGAGTGGCTCTGCAGTAGATCTCGCCACACTCATTAGAACTAAATCCCTGTGGGTCAGTTGCAGGCTGTAGTTGGTGCTGCAATACAATGTTGTGACAGCCGTCAAAAATGCTAACTGTGAGCAAACCCACTCAGCTTGTGTCCTGACGTGAAAGCCACCTGCATGCGGATCCTGCTGATTCCTGGGCAATGCACAGCAGGCCCATGCTGCATGTTTGTTACATGAACCAAAAGACAGGCTGAAGGAGAGAGAGGATGAGGGCAAAGGGTGTACCCTCCGGGGCGCTCAGTTTAGGCATTCATCTTCTAGGGTGTGGCCCTGCCTGTGGTGTTTTCTCCAGTGGCAGGGAGCCCAGGCTTCCACACGGCCTACTTTGTCTGAGCTGTGGTTCAAAACTGAAGTGCTGTGCCTGGCTTCTCTTCCCCACTGAGCTGTGCCTCCCTGGGACTTGCCCCAGGTGCTGGGCCCAGAACCAAGAAAGCCACCCAGCTGGTCAATTTCCATTCTGTTCTGTGCAGGCTGCTGATGAGTGGGCCGAGAAAATGCCCAAAGCATCGCCGCAGATCTCCCAGAGAAGTGGCCAACAGAGACATCCTGGCACGGCTCCACAGGGCAGTGACTGCCCATTACCATGCCATTGCCAGGAGTTTGAGAACTTTGACACCATGAAAAACAACACGGCTTCCAGAGACGAGTTCAGGGCCTCTGTACACGCCAGTGCAGATCCTACTGACGAGCAGGTAAGATGTGTTGGGCAATCACCCTGAGCAGTGTCTCGCCTAGGCCACCATGCCCCAGTGCATAGAGCACGCTCTCTGTTTTCAAAAGGCTTGAGATTGTTTTGTTTTGTTTTTAAATCTTACTGGGAGACTCAGGGGAGCCTTCTGTTTATGTGACAGCTATGAATCACACCACATCTTTCAGGGTGCAAATGATGTCCCTTTGCTTTCAAAATTAATCAGCCCCAGCTCCTATGGTCGTTCCTCCTCCCTGTTCATCCAGCACTTCTGTGAGCCAAAGGGTCCCCCCAACCCCCAGCAGGTAGCGGGGAGGACAAGGGTGGAAGGAATGGGCCCTGGCGTTGCTGGGTTTCCCCCATCACCCCACCTCTCTTCTCTCTGCCACTCTTGGGGCTGCTACTCCAAGCATGCTGGGGACGTGCCCACCTCCAGTGAGCCTCTGTACTGTGTGCAGGCTGGACACAGGCCATTGCTCTCTAGGGTCCCTTCTCTGTCACAGAGCCCAGAAGTGTTTCCCCTGCAGTCTCCCCCACAAGGACTGATCTGGGTTCCTTTTCTCTCAAAGACTCTGTCAACAGGCTGCCCTTCCAGCCTTTCCAGCCAAGAGCACCTGTAGGCGATGACATCCAAGGTCCACCTTGGCACAGCAGCTAGGGGAGGTGGGGCTTCAGAAGGAAGGGAGCGCCAGTCCTGGCTGACTTCAGACGGTGATCACTCTAGACACTGCCTGCAAGCACTGAGCTGCTTTTTCCTCACTGCCAGCCAAACACTGAACAGTGCCTGGACACTGTACTACTGTGGGGGTTCACAGTGCCCCCACCTCCTCCATGGCCCAGTGGCTGGGCAGCCAGAGCAATGCTGGTTCTTCACCCCCAAAAATGTGCTGCTGCCCCTCTGCAGGTTTCAAACAGGTCAGTACCCCTGTTCCAGAGAATAACTCAGCTCAATGAGATCCTAAAATGCTCTCAAAGCCACCCTGCCCCCTCTTCCTTAGACCAGGCAGAAGCAGAAATGTCTCTCTCTGTCACCTCCAGAGCTGGACTACTCCAGCCTCTATTTTCATTTTAGTGGCATTTTAGGGTAAGTTCTTGAAAGTCTCCATAGACAAGGCTGTCAGCACTCCCACGACAGCCCCTCCTCAGGCCTCCAACTCACTGCCCTGAAAATGCATTTGTTAAAGACCATGAGACTGTGAACATCAGCTTAACTCCCCAAACATCAGCTTTTTATGACCATTTTTGCTAAGTAAATTGAAGTGCTGTTCCCAAACAGTCGTGTCACACAGCATCAAAGGCCAGTAAGGTCTGTATTTACAAACTTTCCTCCCTCAGTACAGTTGGAAACACGCCTTTATAGTGAATACAGTCATGTTGATTATTCTGTGGGCCATCCAATAAAAGTTTCAGCAACAAAGGTTTGACTAATAACATTTTTATTTCTCTAAATGACTGAACTCTCGCTGTAGTTACTAACATACCTGGCATTCCAATAATAGTTTGATTTTAATTTCCCACTAAGAAGAGTTTCTCATCCCCAGCACAGCAAGCCCCCCAACAAAACTAAGCATCATTTTAAAATTCTCCTTTCTAAAACTGAGATGGCACATGTCAGCTACAGTCTGTATCATGGGGGCATCAGACGCTGGCCTGTACACCCCGGGTCATGCTGGGTGATGACCAGCACAGACCATGCTTCTGCCTATCACTGGTAAACAGTACAAGTCCTTGTGCTTTCTCTCCACATGCATGGCTTTTCAGTGACCTTGGTTGAAGGGAGGGTCCAGTCAAGTATGACAAAGAAGTTATCTGTACTCTCTAGGTCTGGTCCCCCTTTGCCGTTATCAGTGAGAGTTCACTGAGGAGGCCGGGACAGTTCCAGCCATAGTAAATAACACTTAGCTACAGGTTTCCACTTACTGTATCTACATTGTAAAAAACTGATCTCATGCTAAAAAAAAAAAAAATGCGCAATTGTGATTCTGCACATCAGCTCTCTTGACTTCCAGAATTCTGTAAGTAGGGGAAGGGCCGGGTCTTTTGAAACTTGTGCAATTAACCTTTCAGAAAAGGAGAGAGACTTCCAGAGCAGCTGGGGTTGGAGGCTGCAGGGTCTCCCTGACTGCAGAAACTCCTAAAAGGAAGTGTCCTAAAAGGAAGGCTGTCAGAAGTGGGTCTGTCTGGTTAGCTTAAGACAGATCAGCAGCAAGATCCTCTCTTTGCCAGGCAGTTCAGAAGAGCCCACGGTGGTGTTGGAGAAGTTTTTTTATATGTGACCATATTAGGAAAGGTACTATTAAACAGTTCTGAGCATTTTAGGTGTAATATTTTCAAAACAGACACCCCTGGAAAGTCAGAAAATGCTCGCAGAAAGCCAACCAACCCTCAGGCAGGCACACTTGGATTTCAACCATGGTTCTGCACTGTCCGGCTGTGTGGCTTCAACACATTGTTGTTCATCCTTTCTGAGCAAGTAGCATCCCCAACGAAGTGGGGATGGTCCAAGCTGAAGTTCAGCCTTGGCGGCTTCTGCCTGCTGCGCCTCCACCACTCCCTGCCTCCTGCATCTCTAGCTGGCTACTTCTCCTTCCAGACTCAAAGCAGAGGGAAGCCTGTCCTGGCCACACATTTATCTGGTAGAACTAACTGTGCCTCCCTTTCCATTTCTCCGCTCCCCTGCTCTAACCTTGACCTCTGTCTCATCTGGCTGAGCCCTTGGGACACACTTGCAGGTCCTCAGGCACATAGCCGTCTGAATCCACATGCAATTCATGCCCAGAGGTAGCACTGGCAGCAGGGACTATGGTGCATGGAGGGATTTTGGGCTTGTGTTGGAAGGGAGGGACATCAAATGCCAGTGTGGGGACTTCGTCTTCACACAGTGGAGATGGAGGGTGGTAGGAAGGATGCCTTTAAATGGCAGCACTCTGGCTGCTCTGTGGAGATAGAGGGGAGAGGCACAGAAAACAGGGGGCAGATGTGGGCAGACAGCCAGAGGCATGACAAAGGTGGTGCGGCGGACCAGGGAGGAAACCATGTAATTAAAAAAATGGTGCTGGGAGGTGAGGCAGAGGAGGTGAGAAGTGGTGGATGGAGAATGTTCCAGAGCTAGAGCCTGCAGTAAGAGCAGTGGGCTGGGCAGGAGTTGGAGCTGGGCTGTGTACCTCAGACAGGCCAAAGTGGGCTGGCTGTTCATGTGAAGTTGCAGAGCCCAGAGGTGGATGCACAAGGGTGGAGGCCAGAGAACAGCAGCATCTGGCTCGGAGCTTAGGGTGTGGCTGAGGGTGCAAGGCAGTGAGACCAGAAGGACCAGAAGGGACTGAGCCACCAGTTAGGTAAGGGAGAACCTGGAGAACTGATGTAAATCCAGTGTGTGAGTGTGTGCCTTTGTGTGTCCTCGATGAAAGCCGGTTCACTTTAGTAACTGAATAAATCCAGCTTTCCACTTATAGCTCCACTTTGCACCCTGGTTAAGGTGTCCTTTCCTCTCCCAGGTCCTGAGGACATTAGTCATCCTCTCTGCTGCAGGTTTGACATTTTCACTTAGTATCTCCGATATGCTGAGATACCTTTTCTACACTGTAGGAGAAAAGAAACCCATGCTTCTCCATGCAGGTGACCAGTTTTCCCAGAACCTCTTTCAGAATTCTGTAATCCTCCCTGATCCACAACACCAGCTGTGTCATTTATTGAGTTGCCTGTCTAGGTCTGTTTCTGGACTCCATTCTGTTCCACTGGTTCTTTTTTCTGTCCTTGGGCTAATACCAAATAATAATTAATATCTAAATATTTAGGCTTCATAGGTGTTGGGTAGGGTATGCCCTCCCTCCCTCTTTCTTCTCCTGCAGAAGTGTCTTCAATAGTTTAAGCTTTCCATGGATGTTTCAGAAACATCTGATAAATCCCCACAAAGATGTCTTCTTTAAGTCTGGAAGATAGCTTTTGGCTTAAAGTCTATTTTACCTGTTGTTAATATAACTACTCCAGCTTTCTTTTATTTGGTGTTTTCTGGGTATATCTATTTATATTTCTTTTAAATCTTTGGCCCCTCTGACACTTATGTTTTGGTATGTATATATTATAAACAGCCTGTAGTAGGTTTTTAAAAATCCTATCTAATGATCTCAGTTTTTTTATTTATATGGGTGTTTGGGCCAGTTACAGTTATTGTGATTACTGTTATATGTGTCTATTTCTAACATCCAGTAGTGTGCTTTCTGTTTAATACTCATCTCTTTTATATTGGTCAGCCCAAGCTGACCTTGAACTCACAATCTTCCTGCCTCAGCTTCCCAAGTGCTGGGATTACAGGCATACCACCATGCCTGGCATTTTACAATGTTTTTAAGTCTTCTTTCTTGTCTTCTTTTAGAATGAGCTTTTAAAAATTCCTTTTCTAACTTTCTCTTTCTTTGGAAGTTATCTTATTTCTGTTCTTTTAACCAAGAACTGGCTATGCTCTTGAATTTTACCATATGCAACAAGACAAAAGTCCAGAGTCTAAACATCTCCATTGTTCTCCAGCATGAGTGAGCCAGCATAGTGACAGAGACTAAACAGGGCCTGTCTTAAATCACATGAAAGCACACGCACTTCTCACCTAAAAATTTGACTGGCAGGTCAGGGCTTGTATGGTGCCTGAAAGGTGTTCAGATTTTCACACAAAGCCTGAGGATGGTCATTTTCATTTGTTTTGGGGAGCTGGAGTGGTGGCTCAGACCTGTAGTTCTAGCTACTAATGATGTGGAGATGAGAAGGACCACAATTAGAGGCCAGTCAAATGTGTAGGGGAATTCATAAGACCCCAACTTGACCAATGGCTGGGGGCAGTGGTGTGCACTTGCCATCCCAGCTACGTGGGGAAGCACAAGTAGGAAGATGGTGGTCCAGGCCCACCTGGACGTAAAGCGAGATCTTTCTCAAAAATAATCAATGCAGAAAGAGCTGGTGGCGTGGCTCAGGGATTAGAGCACCTGTCTAACAAGGTTGAGGCCCTGAGTTCAGCCACCCCAGCCCCAGCACCACCAAAAAACATTTTAAAAATTCATTTGCTTTTGGAGCACCGGAGTGGAGACACAGAAGTTTTTGGCAACATGTGGACTTCGGGGAATGGGGTCAGGGCCTGAGCCCCCAATCTTACTTCTCACGGGGCTGCTTCTCCCTCAGCCTGTGCTGAGGCTGGGGTTCCATCAGCTCGGGGCCTAGGCAGACCATCAAATTGGAAGCAATTTCTGGGCTTCTTGACTCCCTAAGAGCTTTCAAGTCATCAAAAGTGGCTCATTTAGGATGCCTCGAGTCATTTTGTTCTATCTGCTTTGTGTGGTTCCATGGTCTGTGGCATCAGACAGCAACAACACAGAGCCATAATCTTCCGAATGCTCCCTTTTCATCTTGCAAGAAGACATTTTTTGCCCTTGGGGTGAGATAAATTGTGGGTACAAATCCAGCAGCTGAGGCTGTGTCACCTGATGAGCTGTTTGCAGACCCAGGTGTGCCAGGAAGGCTGAGGAGTGAGTCAGACTGGCTTCCCTGGGGACACGGGTGGGCCAGAGGTTTGATGTGGATTTTTTCCTAAAATGTTTTCATCCCCTGCAGCTCAGTCACTGTGACTAATCATAAGATTTAATGGCCCTTAACTGTTTACTAAGGGCCCAATTCAATTAAAAAATGTCCTGCAGAAGCCATGAATAACCCTCTTGTCTTGGCTTTTCCAGTCTTCGAGAGGCTTCCTCTGAGCAGAGGTCAAATGGATTGTGCCTTTTTTATTTTTTCAATCAGCATGGGCCTTGGCCCCTGGAACATTTGATGGCCCTCACCTCCCACCCTGTTTCTCTAGGGCACGGGGAGAGCTGACCTTGTTCACTGTTGCTTGCTTTCCAGTTTGATAGGCTCTGGAGCAAGATGCCCATCAATGCCAAGGGGAGGTTGAAGTACCAGGACTTCCTGAGCCAGTTCAGTACTGAGAAGCCACCCTCACCACCAGCCCTGGGCGACCCCACTGCTGCCCACCGGGGCAGCAGTGCCCCAGAGGTCTCCGAAGGAACCCGGTCACCCTCTCGGGACCTGAGAACTGGGCTGAAATCGCGGAGTCATCCCTGTGTGAGTTCTCAGCCCTAGTACCCTCACTCCCCACGGCCTGGGTGGGAGTGTGTGGCTGGCTCAGCTCTCCCTCCCCAGGTGCAGATGGCCAAAAAATGGGCACAGGAGCCTGTGAACGAGGCAGAGGGGCAGGCCCACTAACCTGGAGGGGTGGGCCGAGCTTGGTGAACAGAGTTGGACCATGAACACATTTTCAAGGTGGAGCCTGCAGCATTTCCTGATGGACAGGGTGTGGGATGGAGAAGGAAAGGGGAGAGTCCAGGAGAACTAAGTGTTGACAGAGCAGCTACTAGAAGGGAGTTATCCCCCAAATGTGAAGGATCTGGCTCAGGAGAAAGACATGGAGTCCCACTGAGCAGGGGAGCTGCTATCAGCCAGCCACGGGTGGAGGAGGCGTGTGTGCAGAAATATCTGGGCTGCACTGAACTGACGGCCTTCCTTTCAAATGAAAGAAAAAAAGAATGACTACACACTCATCCACATGTGTTTACTGAATTGCATCCCTTTCTTTGTAGGATTCTTCAGTGAAAAATATACCATAGTCACTTCACACTGCAGTCACTTCATACACACACACCAGGTCCTTCACACTACACACCAGTAATACTTTGAACCCAGGCTACATAGGATCTGGTTCTGATTATTATTGTTTGGTCCAAATATAGTATGATGAAAATTAAAGATTACATCTATGTAATCATGTTTTCATTTTACTTCTGAGCTGATACTACCTGTAGACTGTGACCTCAACCCCCAAGTCCACTGCAGTTTTATTACTTCGCTTTAAACCTTTGTTGAATGACATGTTCTCTCCTGCCAGACCCAGCGGCACGATGCTGGAGCCGGCACCCGCCCTGCAGAACTGTGAACCCATTGAGAGCAAGCTGCGGAAGCAGATCCAGGCTGCTGGCATGAGCTCCTAAGAGAGTGCAAGGAGAGGGATGTGGAAGGCAGGGGGCATTACGCTCTGAGTTCTGGGTGCGTTTTGGCTCTATCCCTGATAACACCTTGTCACCCTTGTGGCTGACACACTGAGCACACTCCATAGCCCAGTGCAGAGGAAAGCGACAGAGAGAGGAGCACCTCTGGCACTTTTGGGTGGAACTGGCAGCTGTGATATCCCCATGGCTTAGTCCACACTCCCCATTTCAGCATAGAGATCTGACTGGTTGTGGTCACTGGGAGACTGAAATGCCACAGACTCTGACAGCAAAGGGAAGGGACAGGTGGGGACACTCAGCCCACCCATGGAGAGGGGAAGGGTGAAGAGGTTGGGGCAGACACTCTTGGGCATTCGCTCCTGTTAGCATCCACTGTACTGTCATTTCCCTGTTCACTGTGCGTCATTTGATAAGCTCTAAAAATTAAGCCAGTTGGATTTTCCTTCCTAATTGCTGCATATTGCTCATGCCATTTCACATCACAGGGGTAAGTCTGGGCACCTGCTTGGCTCCCTCTCTTCCTAGCACACCTTTTAAAGGAGGAAGTTTTCCTTGGAGCCTCGATGCGATTAATTACTTTATCGCAACTGTGGATTAAAACGCAGAGGTTGACAAGGTGTAAATTCTTTAAGATAAAGATCCTATAAAAATATTTATAATTAAGTTTGAAAAAATAAAGTAAGTAATAATCAAATGCTTTTTCAAGATGTAATGTGATATATTTTGCTGAAGACAAATCAGCAATATTGGGTTTAATGCAAGTTTGGACTCTGCTCGACTTTTAGTTAATTCTCTGGTTTTGAACATGGTGAATTTTAACGTGTGCTCTTGTGATTATCATTGCTCTTTTTTTAACCATGAATTCAGGTAAGCCACCCGTTCTTTTTCAGTAGACTTGTCAGACTTCAGCAGTGCATCTAAAATTCAACTCTGCAAAAATAAAAAGCACTGGTGTTTTCAAGTTCCTCTGTATTTTTCTCACTGACGATGACCTTCTGCGAGACAGGGCAGGAGAGCATTGGTTAGACAGTTCCTCTGGGCCCCACAGCTCGCCAGCTAGCCCTGGCTGGCTTTTCACCTCCCTTTTGTGTCCAAGGTGGCAGCAGCACCTTTATACAAGTCTGTGTCCACTTCTCGTCCTGACACTCCCAGAAATCACCAAAGCCCAGGGATCCATCCTCGAAGAAGTTTTTGGCCGAGGATAGAAGCAAATTGGAGCCCAGGATGGGTGGCAGTGTTGATACCTTGCCATTAAGGTGTGCTGGCCTAATGTCAGCCAGGTGGTCCCCGACGTGGCATGACCCATGACCTAAAGCCAGACTCAACCCCAGCACTGCATAATTCGTCTGTTGGGTGACCCTGCACTACAGAGTGTGCTTGACAGATTTTAGACGTCACTGGATGAAAGCTCAAAGTGTATTTCATGACCTAACAAGGCTCCAAGAGCAGCGCTCTGCTGCCCAGGTGAAAACCATTTGATCAGAAAGCCCTGACCCCTCCACAGCCAGCCCCACCAGATACCACTGCTCCCTTGTGTACAGCTGCCCCTGACTCAGTCCAGCCCCCAGATTCTGTCCACGGGGCATAGGCCCTCCTCAGGTAGTCCTTGCTCCTGCTACTGTGTCACATTCTGTGCATAGCTCTGGTGACCAGGACAGCAGGTTACCCTAGGACAGTCCAGGCAGCAGGACCAACCCCTCCCTGTAGCACTTAGTTTATTGTGCATTTGTTTCATACTTGTCCACCCACTAAGCCTGAGTTCTGTGCAACATGGAACAAGCTGAGCTCACAGAGATAGTGCCTCAGCAAGAACTGAATGAGCTAATGAGTGAATGAGTGAGTGCATGGATGGCCACCAACCACACTGCCATTTTTGTCTTTAGCTCTTGTGGAGAAATTCAACCTGGATATAAGCAAGGAGGAGAGCCAGCAGCTCATCATGAAGTATGACTTGAAAAACAATGGTAAATTTGCTTACTGTGACTTCATTCAGAGCTGTGTCCTCCTGTTGAAAGCCAAGGAAACCTCACTGATGCAGAGGATGAAGATCCAGAACGCGCACAAGATGGTATGTGATAAGGTGTCAGAGATGTGCAGGTCATCACATGTGGGGATCCCTCTGCTTCACAGCAAGGGTGGGCTTGGTGTATTGACTGGCTACAAAGGTCTGCTGGCCAGAGCCCAGCCCAGCTCTGCTGCCAGCCAGGATTCACTTTCAGATGTCCCCAGCCTCACTGCTAGCTTCCATAAGTATGACTCAGGTGTTCTCTAGACACATATGGTAGGTGACAAGCAATGCCTTGTCCCCAATTCCTCATTACCAAAAGCCCATACAGCGGCAGTTGCCAAGTCAGCATGAGAGGCAAGGTTTGTGTGTTAGGCTTATGCCTGGAGGCAAGGGCTGGGGCAAAGGTGAGGTACCATCAGGCTCTTGGAACTGCATAATGGCTCAGAAACTCACTATCTTGGATATAATTCAAGGATTTCCTTTCTCTCCCTCTAGGACTTATAAGGGTCAGGGCACCAGGCTGGGAATTAGTGGCCTAGACCTGGTTCCTCAGACTTGTTTGGATGGCTGACCTGCTTATGGTGGCTTTTCTAGAGCACCAGAAACATGGGAATGACAGACAGTCAGTGTGAGCCTCAACAAGGCCTGGGAGTTAGAAAAAGGCAGTGGGTATGCAGATTTGTTTGTGGGGGGTGAGGTTACAGCTAAGTTAAACCTTGTGAACTTAGATGTAGCTGTGGATACTCATCAGTCAGCTGAGACCAGCAGAGCTGGTCTGAGTGGAGCACCTGTCACTACCACATGACCACCCACGATTGTCCATTCGTTCTCTCTTCAAAGAGGGGGAACATAAAGATGCTCACGTGGCACTGCAGTCCACATCCCTGCTGATTTTGCTTTCATTCTCAGTCATTCACAATTTTGTCATTGGAACCCACACCAAAGCAGGTCTTTCTACACCAGGTTGCCGAAGATGGGTTTGTTCCATCTTCCGGCACTGTGCACTCCTGTAATGCTGAGTGAAGTTGGGCTAAACTAAATAGCAAATGCAGTTGCATTATCACTGCCAGGGACAAACACAGCTGATTGCAGCCACCTCACAGCTTAGCTAGGGACCAGATGTGTACAGTGACCTGACCCAGTCTCCACCACGCACCCAGACTGCTGTCAGAGGGATCAGGAGGAGTGGTTCACTCTGCAAAGTGGTGTGTGCATTCCACGCAGACATTTCACACAGAAGATCCTCCTAGCATGGTTTCCGGTTTAACTAGGCAGGAGTTGTATCTAAGATGTAGGCAAGTTTATGAAGGAAAACAAAGTTAAGGCTTGGGCTAGACTAGTTCTGTGAACAGGGAATGCTGTCCTGGTACGAGCCTGGTGGACCAGGAAGGTCTGCTCTCTCCTTCCTCTGCACTCTGGGCCTCAGTTTCCCCTTCGTAAATGAGGGGAGGTCTGCTGGGCTACAAGGTCCTGTGAGGTGTGGGCAGGGCTCTGGTAAGAAGAGAACACAAGTGCCCCTCTCAAGTCTTGCTTCTGGACCTGTTATCTCAGCAAGGCCAAAAGGCTGTGATACATGCTCTGGGTGGCCTGAGAGGCCCAGGGCCTTGTCAGATGTCCAGCACAGTCCTGCATTCCTTGCCCCTACCAGGTGCCTTTCGGTGGTTCAAGTGGTCTTCCCACCTGCCACCCATGTGTGGAGAGGCCTGTGTGCCTCCTAGGACAGGGTCCCGCACTGCACTGATACCTGGTGGTCCTGGGCACAGTCTGCATCTACTCTGGCAGCTGCCACTCTGGTCAGAAGTCTCTCTGCAGAGAAGCTGAGAGGGAGAGTCTCAACCTTTAGAGGCATCCTTGAGAAGCCACTTGGCCATTGTTTCCGGGGTGCGGGGGTGCAGGTGGAGAGGTGTCCTGCAGGGTTGACTCTGCTGCGCTAGGATGGGAAGGGATGTGGGGTGAACCAGAGAACCCAAGCCCCTGCCTTACAAGGCATGCAACCCTACCCATTATGCAGATCGGTAGCTCACACAACTCTGAGCCACGGGTGTTTCCACCACAGGTGCTAAAAATAGAAAACTGAAAGCAATTGAAGTCTGTGCTAATTTATTTTATGTAGCACCATGTTAAAATAAACTTCCCAAAACATGTTACACATTATTGCCTACAGTTCACCTCTGTGATAGTCAGACATGTGTTGGGGCTAAAAAACTGTTTTCTATCTAAAGCCCTAAATGAAATAATCACAGCAGAGTGCACTTCTAATCTAGATATCATTACAACGTGATTTTGTCAAGCACCCTTCATTCTAATAGCCTGCTAGAGACCCAGCCTGAACTGCTTTCTTTCCTCAACTGCTTTGAAGTTGGGCCAGTGTTTGCCCATCTCTGCCTTGTGGTCCTGGGAGGGAGGGACATGGCCTGCTATGTGCAGGGGTCAGAGCCAGAATCGCTTCACCTCCTGAGCTCCTTTTGCCTTCTGAGACTTGGGCTAGGAGGTCCTTCCTCCCAAGTGTGGAAGAGAGGACAGATGAGACATGTAAGGCGTGTTCAACAGCACACAGCACAGAAAAGGGACAGTGATGCTATCTCTAGCAGGAGCACAACCAGGCAGTGCTGCTAGCCGCCATTGCATTTCTGAGCCCTGTCCGCTCTTGTTTTTAGAAAGAGGCTGGTGCGCGGCCGACTTCAGGAAGGTGAGTCTAAAGGCCGGGCCAGAAGGCGCACTGCACTCCTCCAGGAAGGCCCAGGTCCACCCTCAGTGGGCCCAAGCTAGGGAGGCCTGATGCCAGGTCTCCTCCTTCAGGGAGCACCGTGCCCAGCACAACTGCATGAGCTCAGCTTCTGGAGCCCACTGTGGCTGCTCCCAGAGCACTGAGCAGGTCTGGGACCCCTCAAGGCTCTGGTCTCACTACAGCCCGAGAAGAGCATCTCTGACAGGCACAGTTGGCCTCCCTGGCAGCCTGCACAGCAAGCCCCAGCCCTGCAGTGCACCCTGGAGGAAATGGCTCAATGTCAGCTGTGTCCACCCAGCCTAATATACCCTGCAGTGGCTTCCCAATGCCTCCTTTCCTGGGGCAGGCAGCCCCAGCCAGGGAGTCTCCTTTCATGTCCAGCAAGGATGGTATGGAGAGGAAGTAGGGTGGTCTCCTTCCCTCTGCTCAGGCAGCTTCAGGGACTGCAGCATGGTGGCAGGGAGAAGGCAGTACACATGGGAACACTGCCTCAGCAGAGCTGGCATTGGAGATCAGATGGGCGTGACAGGCACTTGGACACTGGGTCTCTTTCCTTTATTGCCTCAGTCCATTGCTCCATGGCCAGCCAGCTGCCCTCAGTCCTGGGGATCCAGGGTCTTCTACCCCACATTCTAGTCTTTTAGAAACAAATTTAACCACAAGAACCATGAAGAAAAATTTATACCCTAATCCATACTTACCAGGGTAGCTGTTAGGATTTGCTTCAGCTGCATGTAATAGGGAAAAGGTAACACCAGCTTAGTGAGAAGTTTATTTCTCTCCCACATAATGAAATCTAGAAGAAGGACGTCCAGAGCTGGCATCAAGGATGTATTTTGCTCTTACCATCCTCAACACCTGGCTCTTCCACAAGGTCCAAGGGGCTGCTGGACCCAAGCATCATATCCATATTCCAGGCAGAGGAGAGGGAAAAGGCACGCCCTTTTCACTGAGAGAAGGTGTTCCAGCAGTTCCACATAGCACTCTTTTGAGTCTACAGGCCATGCTGCCCCCAGCTGCACAAGAGGCTGAGAAATGGCCCTATTACCTGGACATAGCCATGCCACTGAGGTGGAAGGCAGGTATATGGGTGGACAGCTAGTGGCCTCTGCCCCAGCTGCATTACTGTCATTACATCACTCATCTTGACCCTCCTCTGCCTGGTGGGCTGCATCTTGAGGGCCCGACCCATGTTAAGGCCCCTGGCGAGTGTCCCCTCCAGTCCTTCCCCTCAAACCTGGAGGCTGCTTGGCCAAGGGTGGCTAACCTAGATCTGGAGGGACTGTGGAGGGTGGGGCTGGCAACTTGCCGCGTGGCAAGACACAAGAGTTGCTGCTGGGAGGGGGTCAGAGGCAGGGAGGGCCAGGGAGAGGCAGTGTGTCCTGGTCTGTGTGACATTCATGATGGACGCGGCGCTCTGGCCTGCAGGTGCTGCGGCAGTACAGTATCAACCTCTCAGGAGGAGTTCTTCCATGTGCTGGAGTACTACGACAAAGCGCTGTCCTCTAAGAATCTCCTACAACGACTTCCTCCGCGCCTTCCTCCAGTAGTGCCTGTGCTGCGTCCAGCAGGACAGACATCGCAGCATCGTCCCCAAGACTAAGAAAAGTGTGGCCTGGAGGCATAATGAGCCTCCCAAAGCATCCCAAGAGCGGCTCAGGAGGTTCAGGCTCTCGTGGCAGTGGCCCCACCCCTGTAACCCTCCCGGGCGTTTGGCGGGGCACCCGCTATCTTTAGGCGCTCTCATCCTTGGTTTGAGTAATAAAAACAGTCTTTGCAGGACTGATTCCTGAGAGTGACAAGAACTGCTAAAGATAAAACAATTTGAACGCCTGGAATTTGCGGGGGTTTGATTCATGATTGACTGGCCACCTCCTCCAATCCAGAAGCCCTGCACTCCATGATCCAGGTTCACCTCCCCCTTATAACTTACGCTTACCTATTGTCCTGGTCAGAGACAGCTGGAGCCCTGTGGCACTACTGTGTAGCTATGTCTCTGTCCCTGGGCCCAGGGTCCGACTGAGACCCTGTCCCCAATGCAGCTCTGCCCATCTTGCTTTGGGGTGGTGACGAGAAGGTGGGGGTGGTCTTTTGGCCTTCACACAGTTTCCTCTGCCACTTGTCCTGGACTGAGACCCTAGAACACAACAGTTGTGCATATTTGCTTTCACCAAACCGTATGGGGTTAGGACTTCCCGCGGGAGCAGCAGGCCTACATCTACCAGCACCACAGGACAGGGCCTGGTGTCTCCAAGGGAGGCCACTAGGAGGGTGAGATCTTATAGCCCTGGCCAGCCGCCCTTGAATCCTTGTTTCCTGAGCCTCACTGGGGTGAACAGGCCTCTTTCCTGCCCCTACCCTCATCTGAATACAGCCATGGCTGCTCAGCAGGAGAGGAGTCAGAGGTCACCCAGAAACCACATGAGCTCTCAGGAAGCAAGGGCAAGGCAGGCTGTCCTGCGGGTACCCTGGGCCCCAGGCCCTGCTAACCACAACAGCCCACTTCCAGCTGCGCCACCCACAGGGGTGTTTCCAACCCCTTGCAGAGAGGGAGACACTGGGGGTGGGGGAGCCCCTGGAGTGGGGGAGGGAGGAAGCTAAGTCCCAGGGGCACAGGCAATGGCAGGTGGCCCTGGGTAGAAAAGAAGGGGCTCCAGCCAGGCCAAGACTGGGGAGGTCTCAAATCCTAGAGAATCTGGGGTCAGGGGAGGGAGCATGGCTGCTACAGGTGAATGGGACAGGCAGCCCAAGATCCAGGGAGGAGGAGAGGAGCCAAATAGATTGATAAAGGAGGCATGTGGAGTCCTGGGGCAGAGGCATCCTAGGTCCCAGAAGCTCCTCTGTGACGGTGCAGGTCTTGCCCCATCTTGTTTCTCAGTGTCCTGAGCCAGGGATGGGGACCGTATTGTGTCAGCCAGGCCTGTGGTGGCAGATGTGGGTGGGAAAGAGGCATCAGTCTGCAAGGGACAACCTGCGGAGGTCCAAGCAAGGCCCAGAGGACACCAGCCAGCTCAGGACTGAGGAATAGGCAGTGCTGATGCCCATTGAGCACAGGTGTGTGCCAGACTCTGGCCCAGCACTCTTTGCTCATCAACAATTAGACTTGCATTAGTATCCCCACTTGACAGGTGAGGAAATACACGTTGGAGGTTCACTGATCCCCAGTCTCAGCGGTTGGCCCTGGCATCGAGTGGCTACCCAGGGCAACATCTGAGGTCACCGTCCCAGGCCTCAGGCCTCCTCCTGAGGCCTGGATGAGACAGTATGTGCTATATGGACTGTGTAAGTGTCTCCCTAAGGCCTTGTGCTAAAGGCTTGGTTCCAGCCCATGGTGCTATCGGGAGGTGATAGAAGCTTCAAGAGATGGGGCCTTGTGGGAGGTATTTAGGTCATTGGAAGGGTAGCCTTGAAAAGGACAGGGACCATGGCCCCTTCCTCTTCCTCTCTCTTTTTCACTTCCCAGCCATGAGGTAAGTGGTGTCACCCTGCCACATGACTGTGCTGCCCAACCCAGGTCCAAAGCCACAGAGCAAACCAATGATGGACTGAAACCTCCAAAACTGTGAGCCAGAATAACCCTTTCTCTCTGTAAGTGGACTGCACTGGGTATCTGTTACTGTGCTGGGAACCTGACCACACAGCATGGATCTAGGGAGGACAGCCTGGCATGCCTCTCACCCAGCATCCACATTCCTGTGCCCCTAGGGAAACCCTCTGTCCTCTTCCACACAGCCCCACATACTCCTGAGGCTCAGCTCCAAGCTCACCTGCTTGGGGACCCTCCTGTGAACTCTGCGCAGAGACAGAGCTCCCTGCTGGTGTCCTCATGGGCAGCATCACCAGGCAGTGTGTGGCCTCACCCCTCCCCTCTCGCAGGACCTCTGGGCACAGAGTCCTCAGTAGTGTAAGAATGTCGGCCCCTCCCCAGCCCACCACCTGGCACACGGAAGTTCTCTAGCCTGGCTGGGCACACCCTCTGGGCCCCTTTCTCAGACAGAGGGCAAATGAGGCTCCAGGGCGGGGTCCACAAGTTGGGGAGCAGCTTTGGTGGGCGCGTGGTGGTGGGGGCTTCTCTTCAGACTGGTCCTGTGATGCTGGACTACCCGGTACCAGGTGGCATGGCGTCAGACCTGCTGTCCCTCTCCGGCCACATATCCAGCTCCTGGTAAAACAAGTTCCAGATCTTACTATGCATTTCCCACCAGCAATACATATTGACACGACACCTGATGTCATCTTTCTAACAGGATTAAACTGCAATGTTGTCTGTGAAAACAGGCTAGATGACACTGGGCTTTTAGTGAGCTCTGGAAAAGAGGTTTGACATCTGCCACCTGTCCTCCCAACCCCAGAAATGGGAAATGTGTTCCTGCCAGGTGCCGGTGGCTCATGCCTATAATCCTAGCTACTCAAGAGGCAAAGATCAGGAAGATCTCGGTTCGAAGCCAGCCCCGGCAAGTAGTTCACAAGACCCTGTCTCACAAAAACCCATCACTAAAAAGGACTGAGTGGTTTCTCAAGGTGTAGGCTCTTGAGTTCAAACCCTAGTACCGCAAAAAAAAAAAAAAAAAAAAAGGTTATGGGACAAATAAAAACAGTCTGTAGAGACAGAATAATCAAAAGAATCAGACTCAGATATGACACAGATTTTGAATCTAACAGGAAAAAAATTAAAATAACGGACTCATCTGTTAAAGCTCTAATGGAAAAGGAAGATGTCACACACGACCAGATAGGAAACACCAGCAGAGATGAAGCCTGTAAGAAGGATCAAGAGGAATGCTAGAAAGGAAAGCCATAGTGACAAAGACAAAGAGTGCCACTACAGACTCATCAGCAGATTCAACACAACCATGAAAAGAATGAGTGGACTCCCAGACTGCTCACGGAGAGGGACAAGAGAGGGACAAGAGAGGGACAAGATAAGATGCCCTCACATATGCTCAGCTAGAAATAAAGTGGGGCGGGGGAGAGACATGAGAGAGAAATATTTGGATAAGTAATGGCTGAGGATTTTCCAAAATTAGTTACAAGACTAAATTACAGAAGGAAGAAGCATGGTGAGTCAAGCAGGAATCACGCATGTGCTCCCAGGTGTGCTGTATTCACACTGCTACAACCAAAAACAAACAACAAAAATGAAGCCAGCTAGAGAAGAAGAACCTGCTACATACAGAGGAACAGGGTGAGAACTGTGGTACACTTTTCATCAAAACCCATGCTAGCCAGAAGATAATGGAATAAGATTTACAGAGTACCAAAAGCAAAATGATCAGGCCAAAACTCTACTGACAGGAAAATACCCTTCCAAAACAAGGTAAAAACTTTCTTAGACAAAACTGTAGGAACTCGTCATTTCTCTAAAAGAAATGTTAAGCTTGGTGTGGTGGCTCATACCTATAATCCTAACTACTTGGGAGTCAAAGATAAAGAGAATCTTGGTTTGAGCCAGACTGGGCAAGAAGTTTGCAAGACCCCATCTCAAACAATGACTGAGGCGTGGTGGTGCATGCCTGTCATCCCAGCCTTGCTGGGAAGCACCAATAGGAGGATCTCAGTCCAAGCTGGCCTAGACATACAAAGCAAGAGCCTATTTCAGAAAAATGACTGGAAGCATAGCTCAAGTGGTAGAGTGCCTGCCTTGCAAGTGCAAGGTTCTGAGTTCAAACCCCAACACCACCAAAAATTGTGAACAAAGGCTGGGGAAGGCATGGGCGTGCACACTGGCAGAGGCAGGAGGGTGGCAAGTTTGAGGCCCACCTGGAGTACTCAGCCAGACCCTGTCTCAAACAAAGATGGGAAAGTTGAAGAAAAAATTTAAGGAGTATTAAAAGAAGTTCCACAGGAAGAAAGTATGACTTAGAAATTTGGATCTATCCTAGGAATGAAGAGCATCGGAAATAAAATGATAAAATTAAATATTTTTATGTCTTAAATTATTCTAAAAGATAACTGTTTAAAGTAGAACTTGTAGCAATGTGCTGTGTTGGGATCACATTTAAAAGTATGCCAACGGCTGGGTGCTGGTGGCTTATGCCTGTAATTCCAGCTACTTGGGAGACCGAGAGCAGGAGGATGGAGGTTCAAGAGCAGCCTGGACAAATAGTTCACAAGACCCCATCTCCAAAATAGCCAAAGCAAAATAAACTTGAGGTATGGTTCAAGTGGTAGAGTACCTGCTTTCTGAGTGCAAAGTCCTGAGTTCAAACCCCAGGCCCAACAAAAAAAGTATGACATGTTGCTGAAGGAATGGCAAGAATTCAAAATGTACTCTTCAAAGGTTCTTACGCTACATGTGAAGCAGTATATTATTTGAAGACAGACACAGACTGTTTTATTTGTAAACTATAGAGCAATCACTAAAAAACATAATCTTAAAAATATATGTGTCACAGGTAAAAATAAGTCAACAGAGGAGGTAAAAATGGAATTATAAGAAAGACACCAGGATCACATGATAAAGCAAGAGCACACAAGGGAGATATGAGGATAGGTAAGACACCCAAAAAACTAGATAGCATTTGTTGCCCTCAATGCAAAGAAACTAAAG